TCGGGGGTTGGGGGGAGGGTTTGGGCGTGGGGTTTGGGGCGTGGGTTTGGAGGTTGGGGTCTGCTTGGATTTAGGGTTTGGGGTTTAGGGTTTAGGGTTTAGGGTTTAGGGTTTGGGGTTTGGGGTTTGTTCAGGTGCCTGTGGTTTTTCATCTGGCTGGTGGTTTTGACATTTTCGGTTTTTTTGGTTATGAGAAATCCTTTCGAAATCAACACTTCTTGCGAACAGGTAGGGTTTAGGGTTTAGGGTTTAGGGTTTAGGGTTTAGGGTTTATTAATTAGTTAATTAAATGTCTTTTTGTTCGTTTGAATGAATTTTAATCTCCAGTTAAACCATTAATGCATATTATTTGGTTTATTTAATTTGTTTATTTAATCTATTTTATTTATTTTATTTTATTTATTTTATTTTATTTAGTTCCAGTTTTCTTCTGGGTCAATTTTATTCCTTTAAAATGAAAACAAAAAATAACAAAACCACTAATGTCTTTTTTGCTCCTTTTTGGATCCATTTATTCATTTTAAACAATTAAAACAATTAATTAAACTTCAACAATTAAAACAATTAATTAAACTTAAACAATTAATTAAAATTAAACAATTAAAACAATTAAAACAATTAAAATAATTAAAATTAAAATTAAATAATTAAAATAATTAAAATTAAAATTCAACAATTAAAACAATTAATTAAAAAAAGATCCACTTGCTGCGTTTAAGCGAAGAGCGTGGGATTGAACTTGGTGCAACTTTCTTCATTTTTGGTCTTTTTTTCTGCTTTTTTGCGCATTTAAATCCCCATTTGGAATTAAAACTCTTTTGCATGTTTTTAGAAAGAATAAGCGGAGAAAAAGCAGCAGTTTGCTGCTGCTTTGCTGCAGTTTTGCTGCAGTTTTGCTGCAGTTTTGCTGCTGCTGCGCTGCAGTGGGTAGCTGCGGAGGGGCGCGTGCGGGCGGCCAAGCCCTGCGTGATCAGCGGCTGGGCTGCTGCGCATTTGCGTTGGGCTCTTTTTTTTGCTTTTTGCATTTCTCTTTTTTTGTCTTTTTTCATTTCTCTTTTCATTTATTTCTTCGCCAACAAGCGGCTCAAACGCTTCCGAAACAACAAACGAATGCTCCGCAAGTCCCACGCAAACCCCGCGCAAAACCAGGTATTTATCGCCTTTCTAGGGTTTAGGGTTTAGGGTTTAGGGTTTAGGGTTTAGGGTTTGGGGGGTGGGGCGAAGGTTTGGAGTGAGGGTTTAGGGTTCGGGGTGAAGGGGAGGGAGGGTTTGGGGTTTGAAGGGAGGGTTTGGGGTGAGGGTTTAGGGTTTAATAAGGCTTGGGGCTCAGTGTTTTTCTCGGTTTCAGCTGTTCAAGGGTTTAGGGTTTAGGGTTTAGGGTTTAGGGTTTTGTCTTCTTATTCCAGGTTAGGGGCCCCACCGCCTTGAGTGCCGCGTTGGAGACAGCAGAAGCAGAAGCAGCAGAAGCAGCAGGAGCAGCAGCAGCAGCAGAAGCAGCAGAAGCAGCAGGGAACCAGGTGCCCCCCCTCCCGCTTTTCTCCCTTTTTTCTTTTTTCTTTTTTATTTCTTTCTTTTTTTTCTCCATTTTCTTTCTTTTCTTTTCCAATCTTTTCCTTTTCTTCAAATTAAATTAAAATTCTTTTTTCTTTCTTAACTCCCTCCACGCCCCACCCCTCCCATCCCCCCGCCGCCGCTGCTGCTGCTGCTGCTGCTGCTGCTGCTGCTGCTGCTGCTGCTGCAGTGACTTCTCCCTGGTTCATTTTGCTGCTGGCCGGCCTCTCCATGTCTTTGGGTTTGGCCCTCTGGGGCTACAGAGTCATTCGAACTGTTGGCCTCAAACTCGTCAAGATCACTCCCGCCAGAGGATTCGCCATGGAGCTCGGAGCTGCTTGGGTTAGCTAGCTAGCTAGCTAGCTAGCTAGCTGTTAGCTAGCTGGGGTTTATTTGGGTAGCTAGCTAGCTAGCTAGCTAGCGGTGTGGGTTGCTTTGAGTTTTGTAGAAGATCACTCCCGCCAGAGGATTCGCCATGGAGCTCGGAGCTGCTTGGGTTAGCTAGCTAGCTAGCTAGCTAGCTAGCTGTTAG